CATCTTTTCGTGTGCTCTTGGCTATGTGTATGTCTTCTTTGGAAACATGTCTATTCAGATCCTCTGCCCATTTTTCAATTGAATTGTTTCTTTTTATTATTGAATAGTAGGACTTCTTTCTATACTTTGGATATTAACCCCTTCTCAGATATATGATTTGCAAATATCTTCTCCTGTTTCATTTTGTTAATGGTTTCTTTTGCTGTGTAAAAAGCTTTTTAGTTGGATGTAATTCCATTTGCTCATTTTTGCATTTGGAGTGAAATCTTAGAAAACATTGCTAAGATCAATGTCAGAGAGCTTACCACATGGGTTTTTGCATCCCACCAATCACCAATGTACCCCCTTTGGGGTCTGTATCACATTAGTTGAGAATGCATGCTCTAATATATTGGAATCTACCCAAGGGATAGGCCTAGGTTTTATCATTTTTATAATGACCTTTCAAAATGCAGCACTCAGAAGGAAGCAATTCTATCCCGTGGCAAGTATTTGCTGATTGCATACTCTGAGCTGAGCAATGTTTTAGAAACTGAAACTACTTCGGACAAAAACCCTACCCCTCAGGAAGCTTACCTTCTAAAACAGTCTGTCTAGATAAAATTGCTTTCATCCGAACTAAGGAGCACCTGCCAGTAAAAGTGCTCAGGCAGGAGAGAGCTTTGGGACCTGCTGACTGAAATAGGACTTGGCATTTCTTCCAGCTTGAAAATGTGCTGACGGAATTAGAAACCTGTTCATGCTGATGGAGCAGGAAATTCAGAGGAGCACAAAATAGTACTCTCTTCAAAGCAATGTAATTCTGATTCCCAGCCCCCTCCCACAAGGCCCAGCAGGGCATTCCACATCACTAGGATCTTCAGGATGTCCCGTGCTTTGCCCAGCACAGTGGGAAGGCTCCTGGGGCCCACCAGTCACTGCCTCTCATTGGCGATGGCTGAGAGAATTGTGGTCAGACCCACGTGGTCCCTTTAGGTCTAGAGAAGAGACCTCTCTGCTATTCCTGGGGGAGGGAAACTTTGGACTGTCTGAAGCCCACTTCCCTCTGAGGTCCTAACCCCTCCTGGGGACACGGAGTGGGGGGAGACAGTGGTCATGGGAATCACAGACCTCCTGTCCACCCCCAGCTGAGAAAAGTCTCCTCTTCTCTTTGTTGCCTCTCTTTCCAGCACACCTGGCACAATCCAATAACCAGAGTTACCTTGTACAATAGGTAAAACTGACTTCCCCCCTCCTTCCCCCCCACCCCTTCACACACACACACACACACACACACACACACACACACACACACACTGCTTTCAGGCTGCTTTGCTCTCAAAATCTCTAAGCTGTGTGATTACAAAGCCTGGGATCTGTTTGAAATGGTAATGAAAAGGCCTAGGTTTGGCATGAGTGATGTGAAGAAGGAAACAAATTAATATTTCAGTCTATTGTCCTGGCACTCTAAAATCACTTGTAATCCATACTCACTTTATAGAAAACTGTCCATTTGAAATACTCAAGCAGTCAGTCTGGGCCAGATAAAGAATAAAGAGGAAATGCCATAATGCTTGGACTATCCTAGAGAGAGATTCTCCATTTCTAACCCTCTGCCCTTGTCCTCAGGCCCTATCTCCCCAAATGACCTTACAGGGACCACCCTGAATTAGCCTCAGAAGATAATGTGATTTTCCATGTGTTTGTGAAACTCCTATGTGCAGGCCTGGGGGAGGCACTGGTGATGCCCTGCCCTTACCAAGAGAGCAGTGGGATCCTATCTCCCACTTTTATCCCAAAGGCATGTTATAGACTTGGGGAGCATTCATTGGACAGTGTGGCTCTGTCCAAACCCAGCCAACCAGCTGTTAGAATTCGAATGCTTTCCTTTAAGAATATTGAAGTTTTGCCATTAGTGGGGAGTGGGGGGAGATGGTCTATTTCTTTCTAATTTCTTTAGAAATAACTGTAGATCTTCTAAATTCATCTTACTGGAAGGAAAGTTTTGCTTCAAAATTGACTTAAAACACCTATCCACAGCTTTAAAAAAATCTTTATTGTTGAAAATATTACATATGTCCCCCTTTTTCCTCCATTCACCCCTTCTAGCCCACACCCTTCTCCCCCTCCCCTGCCTCAGGCCTTTGCCACACTATTGTCCATATCCAAGGGTTATGCATATATGCCTACAAGTTCTTTGGTTGATCTCTTCCCACCCACCCACCCACCCTCTCCTTCCCTCAGATATTTTACAGTCTGTTCCATGCTTCTAGGTCTCTGGAACTATTTTGTTCATCCACATATGACAGAGCTATTTTGTTCATCCACATATGACACAGATCATGTGATACTTGGCTTTCTCTGACTGGCTTATTTTGCTTAGCACAATGTTCCTCAGGTCCTCAGGCAGTTAAAAGGTGAAATAGTTTCAATGAGGCTGTTCTCAAGCTGTTTTGATGTGTATCAAATCCAGTCTGATAGTTACAGAGCTGTAAAGGAGACTCCAATGTGGACATCAGTTGACTATTCTAATCTGCTTTGTGTTATATTCTCGAAATAGAGGCCAATAAAAAGAACCCACGCTGATACGCCTTTCCCATCACATATCTTTGGGCAGAATTAAGGACTGGGAGGGAAACTGAAAAAATGAAGTGACAATGAATAATAATAGAAAGAAACTATAGATAGAAGAAATAATAGATTCATCAAGTTTGTAGTGAATTTTCTAACAAGTCAGGTATTTAAACAAAGGGAAGTTACTATTGCAAAGGAGTTAATTGACTGATGAGATGAATGTTTCTCAAACTTTAGTCATTCTGGTACCTCCCTTACTGTTCCCCTCTGGCTGTGTGCCACCTGTGGTACAGTCTCAGAGGCCAAAACTGAAAGGGACTTAATGTTTTGTGTCTCTCCATGGCTCACAGTATACAATTACATTCGGCCTTTCATATCTGCGGATTCTGCATTTGCAGATTCAATTTTCCATGGATCAAAAGTATGTGCGAAAATGCTACATTGTTACTGACATGTACTGTGTAGTTATGCCTACCATGATTGGGTCATATTGAACAGGTACAGACTTTTTCTTGCCACTATTCCCTAAGCATAACAACTATTAGAGTCTAACAACTATTTATATAGCATTTATTGTATCCGGCTTTATAAGAAATCTGGAAATGGCTTAAAGTATACAGAAGGATGAGCATAGATTATATGCAAATACTATTCCATTTTTATAAGGGAGTTGAGTGTAGATTTTGGTATCCATGGAAGGCAGGGGTTCCTGTAACCAGTCCCCTACAGATACCAAGAGACTACTATATGCACGAATAGGCTTTCCAGAAATAGCTTTTCATTTTCTCTCTCTTTTTTTTTTATATATTGTATTTTATTGATTTTTACAGAGAGGAAGAGAGAGGGATAGAGAGTTAGAAACATGGATGGGAGAGAAACATTAATCACCTGCCTCCTACACACCCTCTACTGGGGATGTGCCTGCAACCAAGGTACATGCCTTTGACCAAAATCGAACCTGGGACCTTTCAGTCCGCAGGCCAACATTCTATCCACTGAGCCAAACTGGTTTTGGCTCATCTTCTCTCTTTGTTGCGGATTCTTCCTGCTGCTGGTGTGATGTGAACATGCCGTTCAGCCGGTGGCCTCTCACACTGGCTTTGAATGCTCAGTCTGGGGCCCTCTTGGCAGAGTTGTCCCCACAAGAACTCAAAATAGAAATGTACAGATGGCATGCTATCCGGGAAAGAACAATATTACCTAAGAGATGTGTTCCCAGCTACACACTGGACTGCTGTTATGAAGGGGGGAGGGGAAAGTGCCCATTTTCTGCTTGTCCATTCCCCCCACCCCCCACCCCCCACGTGGTGTCTGTGCAGAATGTGATGAGGTACAGAGCACATGGCAGTGCCAGATAGATTCTGGTGAGAAACTGCAGGAGTTTGAGCAGAGTGAGTGAAATGGGCTGGAGCATGGTTCGGGCAGGTGGCTGCTGCTTAAGTCTAGCTGATGGTAGAAGACAGGCTCAGACTTGCTGGGAATTTCATTTTTGTATGAGTAGTTGAAAACCTGGATTTTTTTTTTTATTCAAATCATTCAATTTTCTAATGTCATTATGTCAAAATAGGGGGATAAATTTTTAAAGCATATATGTATTTGTATATCTGTGTGTATGCTTTTTTAAAAATATATTTTATTGATTTTGTACAGAGAGGAAGGGAGAGAGAGAGAGAGAGAGAGAGAGCTAGAAACATCAATGAGAGAGAATCATCGGTCAGCTGCCTCTTGAACACCCCCTACTGGGGATATGCCTGCAACCAAGATACATGCCCTTGACTGGAATCGAACCCGGGTCCCTTCAGTCCCCAAGTCGACACTCTATCCGTTGAGCCAAACTGGTTTTGGCTCTGTGCGTATGCTTTATTTTCTTAAATTGAGTCTTCAGCTTGTATACTTTTGTCTATACTTTAATATTTCTAGAACAAGCTATTAGGAAAAATGTCAATAACTAATTTGACTTCCTAAATGTGTTGTGAGCCAAATATGCCCTGTCTGTAGGCTGGATTTGACCAACAGACTGCCAGTTTGTGATTTCTGCATAGAGTTTTAGAAAAAAATGATCTTTGATTTTAACCAAGGGAATCATCCTCTTCTCTCTTCTCATTCACTGCCTTCCTCCATTTTTTCTGCACTGCCTAGCAAAAAGGACCCCCCCTTCATCTAGGCAAGTGAATGACAGGGGATCGGGGGGGGGGGGGGGATGGGGACATTACAGATTGCTCAGAATAAAATTCTCTTAGAATAAGTGAGCAAAAAGGACAGTAAGCATAATTGCATTGAACAATGCCTCCTGGTATTTTATGTATTTGTTTAATCCCAACTCCCCCCTCATTCTACTCTCTCTTTTAAAAAAGGAGGGCAATAGCTTTGTTTTAGTATGAAAGCCTGAGATATTTTGAAAGTTTGACTAACTGCATTTTCATGTTGTCTCTGTGCCTCTATTTTAGGATGGAATGGGAAACTTGAGAATCACAGAAAAAGGTCTAAAGTTAGAAGGAGACTCAGAATTCTTGCAACCTCTCTACGCCAAAGAAATCCAGTCCCGACCGGTAAGTTTCTGCTGAGAGAAGGAATTATTGTTCCTTGGGAATCAAAATCTGGGGAAATCTATCTTGCCATCAGCTGAGTATAAAGAGTGGCATAGGGGGTGATGACACAGGTAATGAGATGCATTTGAGTCTAAAGTCTTGAGTGTATTCACAGTTCAATTAAAGAACTGAAGTTTGGAAAGGTAGTATGTCCAAAGCCACATAGTCCTGAAGTAGCAGAGCAGGGATTTCCACTAAGAAATATATTCTTAATCTTTTTCTGTTAGCCAGTCTTATTCCTATACTTTTTCTCTCTTTCTTCCTCTTTTGCCATGATAGAAGTGATTCCTAGATATCTAGCTTTTATTAACTAATATTATCAAAATTAACTTTTGTTTAGGAGTGGCTTTTCTGGTTGTTTTTTGTTTTTTGTTTCTCTGGTTTTTATATTTTGTTTTCTGGTGGCTGGTGGAATTTGCTGGTTGGACGGGATTATTAATACATTTGCATTGCCTGGATTGATCCACATCCACCTGCAAGCAAAGAGCAGCAGGAAAGTTCCCCAAAGCGTCATTTGTTTCATGTGCATTGACTAGGGTAATTAATGAAATTCAGCACCTTGATGCAGTGGGTAATTATATCTCAATGCTCTCTAAGCTACTGAGTTGTACTAAACTGAGTGCAATTGTTGAATTGCCAACAAATGTATTTCCTTGTGTGCCTAGTGAGAGAGAGGAAGCCATGATGTTAAAATCATCAAAAAGAGAAAATCAGTTTATCTACACAATGATTATAAAATGTAACTGGAACTTACAGTATACTGGCTTATACTCTTAAAGTACCAAAGGTATTATAAACATATCCATTGTCTTTGAGGAAACTATATCCTGAAAGGAGTAATGGAATGGAACTATAACAAAATGGTTTGGGTGATGATTCTGCTAACAACTTTATTGTATTTTTCCAGCCATCTGCCATGAATACAGGGTGTCCCTTAAAAAGGTATATACACTTTAATAGCTGATAGCTCAATTTTGAAAATGAAATGTATTTTAATAAATACTTCCGTTATAATTATTAGAGACCCCCCCCAATAATTAGTTTTAACAAAGTCATACATTTCATGCTATTCTGTATTTTGTCCCTCTAAATACTATATTAACAGTAAAAAATTGTATAGCTAAATAATATTTAAAAGTTTAAGAGCTATTTTAAGGTATGACTGATGAAGAATAAACTGTAAATATTTAAGAACAAACTATACATATACAATTTGATAAATATTCACACATGTATATACTTGTGACATCATCACCACAATCAAGATAATGAATGTGTGTCACCCCTAAGAGTTCCTCCATGACTTCATCCTGCAGCACCCTCCCTACTTCGCCAGCCCCTTCTCAAGCAACCACCATCTACTTTGTCTTTTACATTCTCTTGCGTTTCTTAGAACTTCATATAAATTAAATCAGACAATTTTAAAACCTAAATAATTTTAAGAATAAATTGTGTATGCCATTTTATCAAGATCATTTTAAACCATTTATTTATTATCCAACTTAAAAAAGAATAAGATTGATTTTGCCTGTGATTGGGCTGTGTCTTGGCTTGGATGGGAAGAGAGATTAGAAGTAGATCAGGGCATAGTACTTGACAGTTTTTCTTTTGGATGACCACAGAGACGGAAATAGAGGAAAACATATTAGGCATGACAACAACGGTAGCATTAGTCTTCTTTTGAATTGTCATAAAAAGTGAAAATATATACCATATGTTTCTGTGTATAAGATGCTATTTTTTTTTCTAAAATGGTTAGACTGAAAATAAAGGGGTATCTTATACACGGAAGCCAGACAAGGAGGGAGCCTCAGGGTGTGTAGCTACCCATACCTTGTTGAACAGGCTTCCTTAATCACGAGCCTCACTGTTAATAATATCAGCTGATTCTGTAATTGGAAGTTGAGGTGGAGAGTACGTAGATGCAACAGAGACCGGAGCATTCTGAGCCCATAAAGATGTCAAAAAATAAAAGATAAATACCAGTAAAATAAATACCTGCAAAATTCAAGCTGAACGTAATCAGCTAATGCAAAAGATCATGGAAATAGAGCTGCAGAGAGATAATTTGGACCTCCTCTCACTAAGTGTACAATCAGACAGTGGAGAAAACAGGAAGAACAACTTCTTAAGATGCCAGAAAAGAAGACCTTAAGAGGCAAACCAGCAAAATGTGCAAACTTGGAGCAGAAGGGCTTAAGACTTGGATTATGGAGCAGCACCAGAGTGGATTATGTGTGTCAACCAAGCTTATTCAATGTCAGGCAAGAATGTTTGCAAGCAAAATAAACATTGTTGATTTTACAGGAAAGGCAAAATGGTGCTTCAATTTCATGAGGAGAGAAGAGTTGGCCATGAGAACACAAAGTTAGCTCAGAAAATGCCATCAGTTTGAGGATGATCTCACATATATAAACAGTGACTCAGAAGATAGCAGTGATACAATAGAACTTGAAGAAATTGATATTTCTGGAACTAATAGTGATGAAGAAGAGAGCAGTGATGCAACAGAGGCTGAATAAAATGGTATGCTGCATAATATCATAATACTGTTATGTAAACATTAGCTGTGGTGGAACAACCGAACAACTGGTTGCTATGACATGCGCTGACCACCAGGGGAGGGTGTTGGTTTCAGTCGGATGGTGGAGCAGGTGAGCAGGGGCGCCAGACCAAGGTGGGGAGTTGCCTGGCACTTGCTCTGATTGCTTGGTGCTGTCAGTGGGTGCGAGTGGTGGCTGCCAGCCCCAAACACCCCTCAGGGTTTTTCCACCTCACCCTGCTCCTAAGGGGTGAGCAGGCAGCAGCTGCTGCTTGCATCTGCCGCTGCCACCAGCACCGTCAGCAGGTGGTGAGAGTGGCAGTGGCAGGAGCACGAGCAAGCTGCCAGCAGACGGGATAGAGGGCTGTGGTGGGAGGGGCCAGGTGGGGGCACAGAGGTAGAGCTGAGACCTATCCCTGTGCTCACCACAGCCTCATGGCCCACAGTTCCTTTCAAAGTGCATGAATTTGTGCATTGGGCCCCTAGTTACTAAATAAAACTGTGTTCTGTTTGATGTTTAAAATATATGATTTCTTAATTTGGGGTTGGAAAAGTGGAGGGCATCTTATACATGGAAAAATATGGTATATTGGATCAGAAGAGCAAAAGAATAAACTAGAAGCTGGTGATTTAGTGTATAAGGCTTCCTTACCTCAAACACAGAGACAATTGCCAGCTTAGCAAAGTTTGGGTCCTGGCCTTGGGAATGCAAAGAAGGTCCTGGGAATGACTGTTGGGCAGGCAGTCAATAGACTTTGCCATACTTAACAATCATAGCCTCACACAATGCTTATGTGAATGTCACACACAACAGCTTTCTATTCTCTACCTGGCATCGGTAGCTTATTGTTTCTTCCTGATGTTCCTGACCATTGCTTACAGACTGACTGCCTCTGGAAGACTCTTCACTGTCGACTGAACTGCAGAATCATTTCTCCATAGGTCATAGCTGCTTCTGTTTTATGGGGTACCACCTGCTTTTCCCAGTGCCCTCAACCTCTAAGTGAGGATAGCTAGTGAAGCAACACTTGACTTCATTTTGGTTTTGTGTTTCATTGATGAGATGAATTAGATTGGGTAAGCAATCCCTGCAATGTTCAATACTGTATCTGATTTCATTATTGAAGGTTGCAACCCTGGTAAAGTCACAACACATTGATTTGGCTGGTAGTAATCACTTTGGAAGATAAGTTGATAAGAAAGAGTTTATCTCTATAAAAATTTCCACCTGTGAGTAGAAAGAAAGCCTTGGGACTTCATGCCACTCAGAAATTATATTGAAGAGGACACAGACTAAATGAACTATTCTACTATCACATCCAAAGACCAGCTCTAAGATGAAAACTGGAAACAACAGTGGATAATACCAGATGGAGCTTAATCATGTCTGGTCCAATCACTGAGAGGATATCTCTCCTTCACAGATTCATTGTGAGGGTGACCCGCCTTATGAGCTATTGACTGAACTATTAATATGAAGGCTTACCTCAGAAGTATAGTTAATTCACAGGGTTTTCCTTTTAATATGGATTTGTTTCTGATATTTAAATACCTGGAGATTTGACATTTTTATAAAAATCTACCTTTTCTGAGTCTCATGAAAAAATCAGAAACCCTGGCAAAATGGTTTGATCTTCCAAAAAAAGAGCTGAGGAGCAGCTGCCTCATCTGGAGGGGCATCTGTTATGCAGTTTGCACAGTCTCCCCCAGTCACTATTGTCTCTGTCCCAACCTCTTCACTCGTTTCTGTAATGAGTCCCTGGGGAACCCTGGGGATGCAGCTCCTGGTTTGTGAGAATGAGAATGTATGTATCTCATCATGCGGAAGTCCAGAAATTAGGTTGACTTCTTAGGACTCTAGTCACTTGTGACTCCCTGTTCCTCCCTTCTTGTTTCCCTCTCCTGTGCATCCATTTCTGGCTCCTATGGGTTTGAAATAGCAGCAAGCTCAGTGACAACAAAACAGACCACGGATGGGAAGGAGGCAGACAAGTAACAGAAGATGAAACTGGATTTGGCTAGCTCTGCCTGACGGAAGGAAGAAAAAAAAAGAAGAAGAAAAAAGTGGGAATATGGGATGGGATGGCAGACAAGCATAAGCTTTGCCTGAAGAGGCTCCACTGATGATGATTTAGTTGCCACGCGTAAAGCCCTGTCTCTCTGGTTAGTTCAGAAACCAAATGAAGGCTGCAGTGGCTTCTCCCCAGTAAGCAAAACAGCTTCAACTCCCAGCTGAACACATTGCACACAAAACAGTATTTTCCGTGCCACTTGCATGGAACATGAACATCTTGCTGTCTTTAATTAAGAAGTTAACTGGACCGTGAAGTATTGCCTGAGTAAATAAAAGTGATTTGTACTAAGTCAGAGGGGTGCAGTAGGCATCTTTGCCTGCCTTTGCTCACACATAAATTATGGA